ACCCAACGCAACCAGGTCGCGGCCACGCATTGCGGTTCCTGGTGGGATCAGGCGCTGTTGCGGGATGTAACCGATGCGCTGATTACCACGCCGAGCTGGGCGACCCAGCACTTCGATCGTTCCAGAGCTGAGTTGCTGCAGGCCTAGCACCGACTTCAGCAGCGACGACTTGCCCGATCCGTTGGCGCCGAGCACCGTAATGAACTCACCAGCATTCAGATCCAGGTCAAGGTGGGACCACACCGTTTTGCGATCGTACGAAAGCGAGGCCTGGCCGATGCGCACAACCGGGTGCGATGACACCGCACTAATTGACGTGTCCACGTGCTACCAGGGCCGCGGCGATGTTGTCTAGATTGCCCTGCATCCACTCGATGTAGGACTTGTCATCGGGCAGCGTCTCGCTGAAGTCAACCACTCGGACGTCGGCTGCTACGGCGGCGGCGCGCACCTTCTTGGTGGTGCCGGTGGCCGTCTGTCGGTTGTAGGCCAGCAGCTCGATCTTCTCGTCGGTAAACAGATCCAGAGTTCTTTGTAGTTCTTGAGGAGGCACATCGCTGCCTTCCTCCTCGGCCCGGCCGAACTCGGAGGGAGTGCGATTGACCAAGCCCACTCTCTGCAGCAAATACAGCGGAACGCTCTCGATGGTCGCGACCTTCTTGCCGCTAGCAGATTTCTTGAGATCCGACGCCGAGGCACGTAGTTCGTCGACCTCGTGCGCGAATGCGCGGTAATTCTTCCGATATGAAAGGGCATTGTCAGCGTCGAGTTTGGTCATCTGGCCGCACAGTTCTTCTGCCACTTTCGCGGCAGTGTCGAGGTCATACCAGACGTGCTCGTTCAGACCCGCAGCATGGGCGTGACCTCCGTGGTCGTGGTCGTCCGTGGGCGCAATGTCGAGCAATCCGGAGAGCCCGGTCGCGGTCACGACCACCGGGTCAGCATCGGACGTGGCCACCAGCGTGGTCATGAACGAGTCATATCCGGCGCCGTTCTGGACGACCACACTCGCCTGCTCGATGGCAAGCCGATCGCGAGTCGTGGCTTCATACTCATGCGGATTTTGCGCACGACTGGTGATGATGCTGGTGACGTCGGCCCGATCTCCGACAACTGCTTTCGCAATGTCGCCGTAGGCGTTAGTCGACGCAACGATCGATATCTCACGACCACGGTCGGTCGCACCGTCAGAACCGCCCGAGCAGCCAGCCAACAGCAGAGCTAGTGCGGGGATGAAGAGCAGGAAACGTAAATCTCGGCAAGTCACACCATCATGTTAGTAG